TGACATAACTTATAGCAGATATAACCTCCAGTGTAGTGGTGGTTTGCAGATTAATGGGTTTAAGAGATAGGAAGAAGATGACAAATTAAGTACCATGCAGATCACCAGGTCTCTTTTGTGCTTTAGTTAGGATGCTTTGTATCTTTATGTTTCTTTTTTCTTTTTTTTTTTTTTTTCAAAGCCTCCTTGGGAATGTCTTTATGACTATGTTGTTTGCAGTGATCCTGGAGAAGCGAGAACATAACCTTGACGTTCTGGTTAATTTACTGACAAAACAGCAAAATAAAGAGTCATTTTATATGGTAGATTCACTAGGTTGTTCTTACTATGATGGCAGAATTAGTGTTACGAAATAGTTAAGTCAAGCATGCTCTGCACTAAGGAACAGATGGGAACAAAAAGCAGTGATAGGAGACACCTCGAGTGGCTGCACCGTTGAGGAGGGGGGCTGAGACAGGCTGAGTGCCTAGGGCTTAAAGAACAACGATGACATTAAATGCAGTGAGCACTAGTAAGCAGTGAGCGTGGGGAGTTGTCTCTTTTCATTTAAAGTTTCTTTTGAAAGAAGGAAGAAACCAAGGATTTACAAATACTGATTTTAATGTGGTCACACATTACCATTCATGATCCTATTTATGATCTCATAACAGATATATTACTTCCGTTGTCACAAACAAAATCCTCTAGAAAGTGATCTATTCTTTGAGTGATTGGCATGCTGCATGTTTTGTCTTTCCTTACACTAACGTTTTGTTTATAGGACTAGATGAGCTGTGAGGTTCATAATGTCTTGTCTTGCAGTATCTCGCAGCACTGCTCAGAAACACCTTCGACACCTCCAACAGTCCAGCTGTAGCGCTGTGGTGAATTGCCTGAGGATCTATTCAGCTTTGCAGATGGTCTGTACAGCCCTCCCTGGTGCCCCTGCCAGGCATTTGCCAGCACCTACCACTACCAGCACCAACCAGCTCTGCCCTCTCTGCTGCCTGTGCAGAGGACACCCATCCCTGGCCTTGTGGTGTTCATGTGGAAGTGGGTGCCAGGCACCTTTCCCTTTCCTTTGGGCACTGCATAGCCACCTGGTCAGTAGACCCCGTCCTGTCTGCATATTACAGCATGGTCTTCTCCAGCAGTTCTTGTGCCATTGCCTCTCTCTCCTCTACCGTCCGCAGAGGACAGAGTAGCAGAGTTCTGATCTTGGCCAGGCTAAAGCTGTCCAGAGACATCTTGATGCTGGCAGTTGAGCATCATCTTTGTAACAGCAGGAAAGAGGCATGCCAGCTTGCTCTGCTGTGGAAGTGCAAAAAGCCTGCCCAGCACCTCGGGCACCAGCTCAGCTGCCCCCATGCGTGGTCTGGGTCTGTCCTGCAAATGCTTCCCATGTCTTCTCTCTGGTTCCTTTGAGCCATTTTTTTTCCCCTCAACATCTCCTGTCTCAAAATTAAGTTGTCCATTTAGCACAGCTTCGAGGATCCTCTGCTTGAAATTTGTGCTGGTTCTTCCCTAACATTTCATTTCATCCTGCAGCTGGACCTGCCCTGGGCTCTGTCAGTGTCCCTGGCCGCCGCCTGAGGACCTCCTTTCATGCCCCTGTGTTACACCAGTGGCTCTGGCACCCGTGAGGTTCCCAGGTACTTGGCCTGTCACCCAGGTCTGCATGACCATTTCTGAGCGATAAATGCCAGCTAAACTGGCACCCTGGGCTACAGTTCTTTTTGGCAACCTGAAAAAGTCTTGTCTGCTTAGATTAAAGCCCCAGTAATGCAGTGACTAAGGCAAAATTAACACGTAAAAGAGTTATATCCGCGTGTGTGTGCAGGCACTCCACTATTTCGTCTAAACAGCGACATCTCCTGACACCTGAGCTGCAGCCCTGTGAGTAGGTTACTGCTTCAATAAAGTTGTTGTTGTTACACACAGTAAATGGCCTCCCGAGGGCCATTCTTAACAAGAACCATGTACACTCCTGCGTTTCATTCCCTGCCAAGGAGGCTGTCAGCACTTAACAACTATTAATAATAACATCAGGAATTACAAAGCTTACAGAGCTTCATGGGATGGAATAAAGTCTGCTTAAATGCAGTCCTTTGAGCGCTGCCTTACTTTGCTTGCATTCATACATCCAAACTGGCTCTATTTAGGACTATAAAGTTAAAATTACCAGTGTAATGTAATGCTGAGTTTGAAGCTTTGCCAGACATTAACTCTTAAGACTATTTCTATAAACAAAATGCATTTTCTAAAGGAACATTCACTTCAATTTTTAACCATGATTTGTTGGGGAAAACAGTTGTTGGGGAAAATTCAAACATGTAGTTTTTTCAGATGTCAATTCCACATTGTTTATAAAAACAACAAAGATTCCTGTTTTGGGAACTTCCTGATAACTCTGTGATTAAAAACTGGCTTAAAAGGTCATTGTATTCTTCAGCCCCTATAGTTAGTGGGTAAAGTGGCAGGAAATACCTGATATGAAGATAGCACCTTTTCAGATGCATTGAGCCAGTCTGGCCTAAGTGGGGGTAACTGCCACTCTTTTAAGTAGTTAAGACCAGGAAACCATTGCTGAATTGTCCATATAATGAACAAGTTAGAAGTTTTAATGAAGCCTTAGAAAAGTATCCATGCATGAATCACGAAAGGCAATCCGTAGTTTTCCACTTTGGAAACAGACTGTTTTCTTTCAGTTCACTGTGCCAGGTTAGGCAAAATTATTCATGCTGGTGAGAGGTAAGAGAGCAGAATAACATCAAGTTATGGTGTTGAGTGGCATTAAATTAGATTGGATGGCTGTTGAATAAATAGAACATGTGAAATTTATATGTCAGATAAAAATTTTGAAGCACTGTTATTATACAGGAGACTGTAGCTCCTATTATAACTGAACATTTAAAATAATGTAGACCTTGAGAAACAATGAATAGCGCTGCTATCTGAAAAATGCCAAATGATAAATTTTGCCTGATATGCCTATGCTTGTTTACTACTCTTCAGCTGTTTAATACAGAAATGAGTGTATAGGTTAAAAGAGGATTTGTGTACTTTACGCATACCTGTGAGTATCAACTACATGTTCACACATCCCAAGATACTCTAACTGAGCACATGGCCTGATTCTAATCACACACTCCATATTCTGTCTTCATTGCCCCTGCTGTGGATGCATCTTGTCCAATATAAGTCTTAGTGCAGCAGAGAGGTATGTAAGAAGAGCTCTGAAGAAGTTATGCTGTTATCATATCTATGCCTTTGACAGAGAGGTCTTCAGAACTAGACTAGTTTTTTATACTTTCTAAGTTCTTTTTCCTATACTATCAAAATGAAAGTAAAAATAATAGTCAAGCAAAAATGGCTAGAATCAATTCTGTTTGCTATATATACAAAAGCACATAACTGATCTGGCAACGATAAAAAAAAATGTTGGTTGTTTTATTGTGTCCAAGGAAATTTATGATTTATATTGCTCTGTGGCAATTTAATGCTGTTGCCTGTTATGAAAAATGGAAGGACCTAATGCTTTCAACAGCAGTGTAAGCAACTGAGTGCCAGATCAAATGAGCCTGAATTCATTATTACACCTGCACCAACAATGCTCAGGCTGATACTCAATTTGTACTGATGAGACTAGAAGTGAAATATTATCCAATTAGATCACAAGCCTGGCTCTGATTAAGAACACATATTTATTCACATTAAAGTTTCATTATTTATTTGTTGGAAGCAGGGACATAGTTTTGCAGCTCATTTGGATTTTTTGCTTAGCAGATGGAGGAAAGCTTGTTTTTTTGTGAAAATAAGGGAAAGGTAACATAAAATACTGGAACACCTAACGTAAAAACAAAACATCTTAGTAATACTACCTTGTGGGTCCCCACTTCCTGTTCTGCATGACTAAGTAAACATTATACACCACCATGTTTTCTGCTTAATTTTGATTTACTATTGATATTGAGTGCAATATATAGAGCATGTACTGAGGAGGTGGAGGCATTTAAAACACAATGAGAAAAAGAGTTATTTTCTTTTGCAAGTGTTTACCTGCCTCTCTTTCCTCCCACATTGTGTTTAATTCTTTTTCCTTGGTTTTCTCTTTTCTTCCAGTAAAAATAAGTGCATGCCCTAACTAATTTTAACATGGAGCTTGAACGGGCTATGAAAGGGACTGTGCAGGTGCCATCCACAGGAATCCTGCACATCTTTTCCACTTAGATGCCCTCAGTGCTGCAGTGTCTTATCAATTGCTGTGTTTAGTTCAGTTCTCACTGACACAGCCTTATGGCAGGTGATCTTCAGCAAATCTCACTTGCTTTGTGAGTTTGTGTGTATGCATTTGTGTGCATGTTTGTTTGTGTAATCTTGTGCTCTGCACATTTATCTACTAATGCAGCTGGTTTGGAAACAGAGTTCTAAAGGGAGATCCCAGACATGTTTACTTGGAAGAGTTAAAGAAATAATTTTCAATAAAACTTTATCTAGAAAAGACATCACTTGCATCATTTGGTGAGGGCAGGAGAACTCTGTCCATTCTTTTTCCTCCTCATCACTTATTTCTAATGCTTGCTCTTTTTTCCTTTGTTCTTTCTCCTTACAAGAGTTTTGGAATACAAACCATCATCCAGTAGCATTCCCATTATTCCCTCTTTCTCTGATTACTTTCTAGCACCAAGCTAGAATGCATGAGGTTTAAATACTGCAAAAATAAAAACATACTGGAAACTGTAGACATTTCATAGTACTGCCTTCATTCATTCTAGCAAGGACTCTGTGATCATGAGCCTTTAAGGATTTGTTATATACTATATTTGCACAAATAAAGGCCACATTCAAGGTTTTAAAATACCAGTGTAAAGTCCATATTTGGTGTGACTGGTCTGTAGTGACAGACTATGTACATGTTTGAACAGCTTTGCAGATAAAACTGTACTCATTCTGTCTGTTAAAAATGCCATCTGGTGAAGAACAAGCCGCATACAAGGTGCTCTGTGCCTGCCCTGGCCTACCTGTGAGTGTACCGTCTTCCCGAGCAGGCCGTCCAGTGCAGCCAGCTTGGAAGGCAGAAGGAAGAAAAGCCACGCGTCTGCAACAGAGCACAAGGGCATACAATTCTCTGCGATAAAGCAGATGCTGGTTCTTTGTAGAAGGCTCAAGAAATGTCCGAACCTCTGCTTTCGAGGGAAAATCTGCAGAACGGGAACTTGTAAGCCTTATTTGAGCAAATACAGTAAAAATAATCTTATTTTTTTCCCCTAATGCTTTGTCAGGATTAGTAAAACCGCACTCTCCATGGGTTACACATGTACAAATTTGGAGCTATGCCTTTGTCTATTAGCTATATGGCTTCTCTATTTATAATAACGTCTTTGTCCTCGTCAGTCCCTTTCCATGGAAGGTGCTACAGGGATTTGCTGCTTTGTGGCAAAAATCCTGTTTTACCTTTGCACTTTTGCAAAGATTAATTTCTTTCAAAGCCTTAATGGTTTGGACTGTTTCTTCCCTCTGTTAGGATGCTATAAGCAGAGAGAAGACAACTGATTATTTAAAGAACGTATTCTGAAAAAGATAACAAAGCAGTTACCACGATGTATGTACTGTGGCATTTGCTATCTTGCTAATATTTCACTTACTAGCTACATAAATGTGGAGTGGTAACATGTTCAGGGATGAGAAACAAATGAAAATAAATCAAAAGGAAGAGGTGCAAACTGCAGCCTTCTGAAATAACCTGCCATCGCCAGGCCTCAGAGTGAGGCAGTGTGGTGTGAAATGAACAGCACTGGGTATTTGCTTGCCCCCTTGCACTGGGCTAGTGCCGCAACTTTCGGCTGTAGCAGAAAGGAAGAAAGAAGGAAAAGCCAAAGAAGCAGGGAGTGGCGGGTATCTATGTGTCATTAGGTATGCCTGGGGAGTGAAGACCGCACTCCTGTAATGCTTTTCTCTAGATGTATTTGTAAATCCCAGCATCCTGCTTGCTTTCTGGTTCAAAACGATGCAGCTGTGCAAAGGGAAGGGACAGACTGCTTGAGAAGGCCTGGACGCAGCAAGGCAAGGCAAGGGTCCAGGGACACGGGCTGCAGGAGTACATACGTATCTGACGTGGGAAGACAAAGTGCGCTCAACTCAGTGTTGCCTTGAAAGCTACCGTGGCCGGTTGCTGTCTGGGCTTGGATTGCACAGCAGTGCTCATCCAGCTCACTTGGTGTCCTCACTGTCCCTGGCAGTTTGTAGGCAGGAAAGGGAAGGGGTGAGGGAGCTTCTGGTGAGACGTGTTGCCTGGTGGCTCTCTGCAAGGGGGACACCAACCCTCACTGCCCAGCAGCATCTGGTGCTTGGGCTGCCCCGGTTGCCCCAGCTGCCCTGTTTCCTTGAGGCCATGGGATGCAGAAAGGTCTCCACAGTGCCGCACGCCGCACGGGAACGCTACCTGAGGTCTATTCCCTTGCAGGGTATGGTTGTGACCAGGGGAGGTCCTGCCTGGGGCATCTCACATGCGGGGCCCTGCGCCACCTCTTGGGGCTCTGGCTGCCCTGGACCCGCTGCACAGAGACCCTGGGAGATGGACACAACCCTGGGCACCACCAGCCCCTCAGCCGGCCTGGAGAGCCTCATGCCAAGGCTAGGGAGAGGAGACAAAGGAAAAACAAGAAAGGCGCTCCACACAGTAGATAGCACTAGCACTGAAGTTACCATCAGCTTTTAATTTCATGTTAGCTTTACGGTTTAGAGGTTAAAATGCACAGCTATTTCTTTTTTGGTGGTCACCTGCTTTGGTAGCGTTATGCTGTAATATTTCCTTAGGTATGTTTTAAGGCTGGCAAAGCCTTAAAGCTAAGCTCTTGATACTTACTATCCAGGAAATTGTAAGGAAACAGAAAGCTGTAGCTAAGCGAATTATGAAAACACTGGGCAATCCACGCAGGGCTGCTAAATTATCGCACCAAGTTTCCTAAGTAGCAAGCACAGATTTTTCCAAATAGAATCATAGAATCAAATACATTGATAATTCACTTGCAAAAAAAAAATTAAAAAAAAAAAAAAACAACCAACCAAACAAAAAAAATCCAAATCGACTACCTTTTAAATGAATCTGACACAATATTAACCAAACAGAAGAGCAATAATCTCATCCTAGAATTTTTTAAAAGATACCCAACAGCTTCTCTGCCAGAGCATATTCCGTGACATCTGCTAAATAGCATGGGAAGTTGCAATCAATTGCTCATTACAGTCGCCACACAAGGCATAGCTCCGAGCAAATGTGGCATTACTGATTCCCCTTGACCCTGTGATAACATAGGCGCAGTGAGGGGCACCAAGGGTGTTTGCTAGTTGTTCACATGACCCAAGGTGCCGTTTTTGTCTACCCTCTATGGTCTTGCCCATTACTTTGCAAATGTTGTTCAGGAAGCCACAAATCTTTTGCACCTCAAAATCAGATTCCAACTAGTTGGGAGGTGGTGACACCTCACTCTCAGACATTACAAAGGCATCAGTTTCTTGAAAATAATGGTGATGTCCGTCTGTTCTGGGGGAGGTTCTCAGGAGGTGGTACCAAGCCGCTGAGGTAAGTCCTCTTCTGTGGTCCATGTGGGATTGCCCTGCCATGTGGGACTCCTGACTCCGCTAAAAGTTACCTCATGCCATCCGGCCAATGGGTGTTTTTAGTCAGCATTTGAGTTTGAAACTGGCACTTCTGAAGAGAACCACCCTCCATCCCGCCTTGCCCTACACTGCGTCACATCACGAGCAGCTTTGAAACCTGCTAGCTGGGCACTTTCTACTGGGTGAAAATAACCAGAAGATATGCTCCAGGAGCATAAGCAGTGCCTTTCAGCTGGTAACAGGCAACCCTATCCACAGGTTGTCCCAAGTCTGATATAAACCTGTTCAATGCTGTGACGAGGACACTGCTCCCAGCCTCCCCAAAGCCATCTTTCTCACGTCACAGACTGCTGCCACTGCTTGGCTGGTGCAGGCACAGCCAGTCTGTTTCCACGGGGCTGTGCCATACGCCTCTGCCAGAAACACCAGTGCACACTTGGGACGGAGCGGCAGTAGTGACACGTCCCACTGATGTCTATTTGCTCTGACAGCTAAAGTGCAGCCTACAGTGATACTTGCATCACAGGCAGATTATCTTATGTGCTGTAAACAACAGCATGGCCCGTCCTTCACAAGTGACTGACCACAACTCCCTGCTTGCGCCTGCAGAGCATCAGTCCCATGGGAAGAGGGTGAGGAGGAGGGTCCGTGCCAGAGCTGTGCAGCATCTCCCCCACAAGCTGAGGTGATTCCAGGCATTTGCGTGTCTGCTGAGCACCGGGCCTTCAGTTCTGGGAGATTTTACTGGGATATCACCATAGTGTGTATGTGATTTAATTTTGTTTTGTTTTGTTTTTCCCTCAAACAAGCCAACTATTGGAGGCAGGTGAAAGCTCAGTGTACTTCTAATGGCATTCCTAGTATTCGGTAAAAGAGAACAGCCTGAAGATGCACACTCTAATGGTTCAAAATCCAGATGGCATAAAATACATTTAGCATTTTATTATTTATCAAACGCTATGAGCTTACAGCCAAAGCAGTCTGAGCACTTTGAAACCAAACACGTAACAAAAGTGATAAATAAACATGCCTTGTTGCAAGTGCCAAGCGTCTAGTACTTGCAACGACGGATGAGGGAAGGGAAGATACAGAAATATCCAAATAGGTCCTCACGATCTGTCTCAAAGCCCAGTACTGCTGTCAGCAGGCAAGGGCCAGCGGTCATCGGTCCCACTGGATACCACGGGCGTTTTAAAGGTAAAAAAATAACATAAAACGACCCTCTCCCTGTCCTGTCCCCTCCCGCGCTCCCGG